TCTCTCTCTCTCTCTCTCTCTCTCTCTCTCTCTCTCTCTCTCTCTCTCTCTCTCTCTCAAGCTTCAGTTCAGATACCCTCTCATGGAGGTGGTAAGACCACCCTCCCAAAGAGTGAGGGCTCCAATCTATTGGTGGGGACCAGCACCTGCTAGGAACTGTTCCAGCGTCCCTTAACAGTCCGCAATCCATTGGTAAGATCACCCTCCCAATGTTTGATTCGTCCCTTCTGACTGAGTGTGCTGGAAAAAAGCAGGGATTGCACCGTCCATATTATCGCCCAGTGACAAGTTTTGCTCTCTGGGATTTCGGAGTTGTTGCTGTTCGACGTCTGCGGTTGTTGCAGCTTGGCTGATGTACGGCTATGGGGTCCATTTCTTGTCTTGCCTTTGAGCAGCAGCATTTACTATTAAGGCTTTTTCTTATGAGAGCTAGATTCCTTTGCGTTTTTATATATATCGTCAAACAGAACTGCCCGGTAAACCAACCGTCGGCAGCAGAGACGGAGAAGAGGACAACAAACGAGGGGCTGTGACAAACTGTTTCATCGAGTTTCACCGGCTCATCAGGAGGCCGAACAACAAGATCATATCGTTTAGGCTTTTATATCGAGCAGCATTTAGGCTTTCACAACAGAGAGATTCCATCGTTTGTTTTTTTAATTAACAACGAGATTCCCTTGTTTTTTAAATAACAATGAGATCCCTTTGTTTTTTTTTTTTAATAACAACGAGATTCCTTTGTTGTTTTAAAATAACAACGGGATTGCTTTGATTTTAAAAATATAAAGCAAGTTCAGCAACGAGATTCCTTTGCTTTTTTTAATTAACAACGAGATTCCTTTGTTTTCTAAACTTTTTTAAAATAACCAGGAGATTCCTTTGTTTTTTTAACTTTTTTGAACTAACAACGACGTTTCTTTGTTTTTTTAAATAACAACGAGATTCCTTTGTCTAGAGTAGACTCTATACCATGGCTACGATCCCGACGTCCGGACCGCCATCCAGACGGTCCGGATTCAGTCCGGACTCCAGACGTCCTGTCTGGAAGGTCCGGATCTGCCAAATTTCGAGGGGAAAAAAAAAAAAAAAAACGGTCCAGGACCCTTCCCCATTGAGGAGCCAAGCCCCCAAAATTGCTTTGGGGGTTTTTCAGGCCCATTTATGATTTTTTGGGAGGTCCGGACATGCTCTCTCTCTATAATAATTTATTAGACAATCCCCAATTTCTTAATTATTAATAATTCATTAGCTTTTGTTAGTTTTTTAAGTCTTTTAAACTCTTTTTTTAAGTTTTCTATAGTTTTTGACTTTTAACTCAAGTTTGGTTAGGAATTCTGACATGACTCTGAGGCAAAAGTGGTTTGCATTGTTATTCTGCATAACATAATTTTTTTTCAGATTTTTTTATTTTTATTTTTTTTAATGGTCCGGACATTTTCCGGACCTGTCCAGACATCCGGACCGTCCGGATCCCGTCATGTCCGGTGTCCGGAAGATGTCCGGAATTCCGGACGTCCGGAAACTACTGGACACGGGTCCGGTTCCATGTCCGGAAATGTCCGGGTCCGGGTCCGGGTCCGGGTCCGGCGTAGCCATGCTCTATACGTATATATCGTCAAACTGAACATGTAAGATATATTTACAGTTTTTTTCTTCTTTTTTTTTAATACACAATTATACACTGTAAAAATGGCAAACAATATGACGCTAGTGGCAGAAAACGAGAACAGAGGGCTGCTCTGCATTGTTTCCCCCTTTTCTTTTAGGAAACTAATAAATCAACAATTCGATTATTCAAATTTGAAAAAAAAAAAGGGTACAAACCTTGGGAATGCTCGGGTTACTTCTCAGGAACTCCGAGGCGGATGCGCTTCTCCGCTCATCTTCTGAAGCAGCAGCTTCATCAGAACCAGAAGGACCAGCCGACGAGACAAGCGTAATGAACTTCATTGGAAGGCTATCTGCACAACCAGAAAAAAATAATAATAATAAATTGTCAGCGGATGTATGAGCGCGTGAGCGTGTGTGCGTGAGTGTGTGTGTGAGCGTGTATGTGTGAGCGTGTGTGTGTGCTCTCACTCTCCCACTCTCTCCCAGCCTCGCTGCTCTGCCTCTGCCTCGTCACAGTGATCATATTTTTTTAACCCCCCTGGAGGAAGATCACCTGGCGGTGATCGGAAAAAACAGTCAGAGAGCCAGATGTTTCCAAGCTGCTGTGTCGTTCCTACTTTCAATCATTGAGTGAACGCTCGCAGGTTGCTTTTCGTGGTTAAGTCAGATCTTCGATATTGTTGTTATCTGCTGAATTTGTTCATCTGTGAATTCTTCTCACTCATACTCATCTTCTTGGCACGTGTCTTTCTAAAACACCTTGCAAAATCATTAGATTCATAATACACACATACTTGCTTTAAAGGGGGGGGGGGCGGAATCTGGGCTACCAGCCAGGCCGCCAGAGTCGCCTTGGTGGCCCGACCTTGCAAGGGCCAGGGAAGGTCCCAGCAAAAAAAAAAGAAAAAAGGAAAAAACCGAAAACCCCCTATGTTATGCAGAAAAATCAACTGAACAACTTCTGCCTCAGGGTCACACCGAAATTCTTTCCCAAATTAGAAAAATAAATTTCAAATTTAAAAGAAGATCTTTACGTTTTTATTTTTCGATTCTTTTGGGGCCGGCCAGGCAAGTGGTCCCGGCCCATTCTGGTAGCCTAGAAAAAAATGGTACATAGCCCTCAGCAGGAACATATCCAGGATCGGACTGCACCTCCATGAAAAAAAAGGCTCAATCAGGGTCCTCTTCACCCCTTCTTTTTTTCAATTTATTACTTGTATTTAAATGTTTGAGTGCTGTGCAAGGCTATGAGCGAGAGCGATAGACAGAAAACCAAGTTGCAAAATCACAAAGTAGTCCAGATAGTCATGTACCAAGCAGAGAGCACAATGCACCAAGATACCATCCACATAAGAGCAATACAACGAACTTGAGTGCCAATGCCGACGCTCTCTGGTCACAACAACGCTGTATCCAATGTCGCTCCTACTGTATGGCGCCCAGCGGTCAGCCTACACTACTCAGCCTATCTATCATCCTATCTACGTTCATGCGACTGGATCACATCGAAGTTGAAGACCAATGTACGTGACGTCATTACCAATGCCGACCGCCAGCATACACCAGGTACGTTCTCTCTCCTCTCCTCATCACACCCTATCTCCCCTCTGCATGCACCGCCTACCCGAAGACCACCATCGCCATCACCCACCTTCCGCATTCTCAGCCCCGCTATGGCCACCGTGCGCCCACTGCCACCGCAGTGCCCTCTCACCTCTTGCGCCCTCGTGCGCCCTGGCCTGCCTGCATAGCGCAGCTTCGCGAGGCGTAACAGCAGCGTGGCCGCATTGCCTGCTCAGTCCAGAATGCCTCTGCCTGGGCAGGGCACTTTCCTTTGCGTGGCCCTGGCTGGATGAGTTTCCAGTAGCTTTCAGTCGGGCTCCCATGTCTGCGCCCAGGCCCACTTTTGCTGTTACGGGCCTGGGCCCTTTACAGTTGGGCACATCCAGGCAGCCCTCCAGGCTCCAAGTGTTTGTCGCATTATCATTGGCTCGCGGTGCACGTGTGCCGACAATGCTGCTTTCTCATCGGCCCGTGGCCACTACGTGATGTGTCGGCCTCACACTGCGTGTGCCCAGGGCGCAACCACCCGAGCCCTGGGCTCAACTGCACGTCGCAGCTGCTTCTTCTGGAAAGAGCCAGGAGAGGCTCACGTTGCTCGGTAACCAACTGGCGTGCTGCAACTGTCTGATACCCACATATGGAAAATGTCGAAAGCAGGCCTCTTGCGGATATCCAGGCCCGCCTTCACTTAGGGCGGGCACAATGCTTCCTGTGGACCACAGCCCGGAACACTCTAGCATGTCTGTAAGGACCCCGTGAGGACTCAATCCTTGCAGCTGCATCTTATTTTCCTATGTCAATCACCTACTTCCGTCTGGATTCAAACTCAGCCATGTCTGAACAATTCACAACGACTCTTCCCCAAACTTTCACAGTCACACCTCAGCGCAGTTCACAATGACTCTTCCCCGAACTATCATGGATGACGTGTACCAACTGCACTGAGCCCGTTGATAGGGTCCTCAACGACTCCTCATCCCTACTTTTGCTGTGAGTCTGTGACTGTGAAAGTTTGGGGAAGAGTCGCTGATAAGATTGCCCATCCATTACGCATATCATTGCAACCGTCAAAGTCAGTTCCTGATACTTTCATCAAACATGATGGACGTCATCGAAAAATTAATGCATGGAAGGAAGTTCATGGAAGTTTCCGCGTCCATGGTGCATAATCGTCAATTAAACTTCCGTCACGCAGCATGATATGGCAATTGTCACGATCTACTCACGGAACTTTCATACTAACAGCACACTTCCTTTACTTTACGTGCATATGATTTCCAAGTTTCAATCAACCGCTCTACTACCGTTAAGGACCTTGACATGCTGTGGGCGCACCCTGGTCAACGTCGTGTTGAAAAAAAAAAAAAAAAAAAAAAAACTTGACTGAATAGCGTTAGGGAGCTTCACATAAGTTGACTGACTGACTACCGTTACGGACTTTGACGAAAAATGACTGACCGCCGTTAGGGACATTAATGGAAGTTGAAGGAACGGTTTATTAAACTTTATTTCCAGATGACGGAATGTTTTTTCTTTTTCTTTTTCTTTTTCTTCTTTTTTTTTTCTTCTTTTTCGAAGTTTTTTTCTTTTTGCTTTTTTTTTTTCTTTTTTTGGGAGGTATACGTTTTCCAGAAGCCTCAAAGAGTCCAAAGGTACTTTTACCTGTAGCAAATTCCGTCATCGCTTTGGAGTTGCTTCTTCCATTATAATCTGCTGGCTCATCCTGCAAAGAAAACAAAAAAAGGGAAATATAATCAAATATTGCAAAAGGAGAAGATTAAATTTTCAACCAAAAAAAAAAAACAGCGGGGAAAATAGCAAAGGTTAAGCCATCTGATCTCCCCACTGGTCGAGTACAACGACAGGCACCTCCTGAGGCCTATAGCATCCAGCCTCTACTACAATCTGGACTTAAAAAAAAAAAAAAAAAAGCAGCAGCAAAGGTGAAGGGCATTCTTTCAGGGGCCAGATTCCTAGATCCAAGAGCCCTATTACTACCGTCTTCACCCAAATAGAACGCCCCATAATTATCGCCGTATCTGGGCTGAAAGTTGTGTCAAATACAGCTATAATGACCGGGTGTTCTATTCGGGTGAAGACGATAGCTCCATTTGTCCCCACCCCAACCCACCCCTAACACCCACCCTCCCTACCCCAATCCCCAAAGCACAGATTAGAGAACGAGCCAGCCAGGATTGCATGAACCTAGCCAGGTTTAGGGCCACATTCCTGATCTTTTTTAATCACAAGCCCCAAACGGCCCCAAGCACAATTCAGCCCCAAATGCTAAAAGCTCTCAAACAGTGCTGTGTCTCTGCTAAGAACGTTCCATGAACCTGGCACGGTTTTGGGACCAGATTCCAGCTCTTTTTTATATCACAAGCCCCATACCACATCCTTAGCTGACACTCGGCCCTAACCAGCTCTACCAGACCCCTGTAAACCTCATTCGTTGCTGACCTTCCCCAATTTCCGCACGGGGCATGCGTGAATTCATGTATGAATTCATGCACAGCGCCCAGTTGAAAACAGTATGAAAATATTACAAGTAAAGCGAGTGCGGCTACGCCTGCACACATGGAAATGTCAATGAGATATTCGAAAATTTCAGGGTCTACATTAGTATCCACCGACAGGTCTCTCTCTCTCTCTCTCTCTCTCTCTCTCTCTCTCTCTCTCTCTCTCTCTCTCTTTTCCCCTACCCGCTCGCCATTTTCTATTTCTCCTTCTCCACTGCCTCCCTTTTGCCTGGCCAATTCCATCTTTCAACTTGCGCCCTCCATCCCCCTCCCCCAACTTCCCCCCACCAATCCACTTTTCCATGCTCTTCTCTCCTTGTCCTGTGTCTGCCGCCTCTCCTTTCCCCTCTTTCTCCATGCCTTTCTGTCCTCTGTTGGGATCCTCTCCGAGAGCCTCTCTCCCATACTCAATGTGGCATCTGCAGATCTGGTCTGTCCTTCCTTCTCTTCCTCTGCTCTTTCTCTCTTCATTGCTCTCTCTACATCACCTGCATAGCCGCATTTACCCTATCCCTCTCGTGATGGAGCCCCTTCGTAATTATCCTGCTCTCTCCTTCCTTACCTGTTCCCTCCCCTCTGCTCTGATCCCGCATCGTCACCCTCCCCTTTCACCCTTCTCCTGCTACTCCAGCTTCTCAAAATTTCAATGGCGACCTTCTCCTGCCTGCATTACCAGGCACTTGAACTCCCCCTAGTGTTCCTTCTCCCCCTGCCTCTCCGCATGCACAGCATGATCCCCACTCCTTCCAATAGCGGATGTCCAAAAAGTCAGTCCCACTTGCAACATGGCACCCCCACACAAAATAGAGTTGCAGCCCGGAGGAGAGGCGGAGGGATGTAGTGAGGGAGGGGCAGAGAGAGAGAGCAGGCGCATTTCACCTATGCCGGCTGAACCTACCTTCTTGCTTTTGGGGCCGAGGGTGAACGGAACCCTTCACCTCATGGTGCACAAGACAGCCAAGAGAGAGAGTGAGAGAGAGAGGGAGAGAGGGTGCACTTCGCTACGCCGCAGGGACTCACCTATTTCCTTCTTGGGCCTGGTGTGAATGGAGCGCTCCACATCTTCAGGCACAACATCGCAGGCACACAGAGRGAGAGMSASAGAGAGAGAGAGAGAGAGAGAGAGAGAGAGAGAGAGAGAGAGAGAGAGAGATTCGCCATGAGGATGGCTGTTTGAATGGACGGCATGTTCTAACCGCTGTTGCCATTTGCCTGCCTTCCGCATCTGATCAGTGCTGTCGGAACGATGCCACGAATGGAAAATCCCGACAGCGCTACCACGGGGAAGAACTCCAGAGCTGTTCCCTCGCGGCAGCGCTGTCGGGATTTTTTCCGTTGTCGGCAGCACCCACCCTGCCTAATATTTGCACAACTCCGTTCGCACATCCATATAGACCCAAGTTCGAATCCACATCCAATAAGATGAGCGCTCGCTGAGCGGTGCAGTGAGGCCGCGGCCACAATACCGATAGGCAAAAGAAAAGGAAAGCAAGAAGACAAAGTCCACACTAACGACCGAAACGGCCTTCGGGCCTCGCTGCGCCACTCACCAAAAAGCAAAAAGATAAGAGTGAGCGAACCTTCCCTTCGAAAAGCGAACGATACACCGCACCCCTTTGGTTTTGCTTTTCTCTTTTTTTGCGGTTCCAACGGTCGCGTGTGGCCTCGGATTTCCAATGGCCACCGCTTTCCAAGTCAATGTTTTCCGGCACACCGTCGATGGATGCCGGAAACAACGCTGCTTATCCGACGGCTCATCTCACAGACGTGCACATTCCCGTCCCGACCGCACGAAGTTTAATAGAATGTAAAGGAGTCCGAGCTTATCCCCATGGTCAATACATTCTCAGTGCTGATTGGTTGAGCATAAGTTTTTTTTTTTTTTTTAATCAGCAAGGGATTTACTCACCTTAAAATTTAAAAAAAAATAAAAAAAAGAATGAGATTTACTCACCTTGTAGTACTTCCCCGTGTACGGATTTTTCTTGCGGTCCCAGCTGAAGAGCTGCAGATACGTTCAGAAAAAGAGGCACAGAATTTCAGTTCACATATCATGCCATCAATCTTGAAGATGGATTCTTCTGCACCTGGACTGAAAGGTGTCCCACATACGGGGCCAATTCTGCACTACCCATGCCATACACACATTGTCAAACGGAACTGCCTGGTCAACCGTAGGGAGGGAGGAAGAAGAGGACTACAAACGAGGGGCTGTGACAGTCAGACTTTTTCTCTGAAGTTCCACCTACTGACTCGTCAGGAGGCTCGCAGAAACAACCTTGTCTTCATTGATTACATAAATAAATAATCAAGTTTAATAGAGTCAAATGAACCACCTCATTCATTTATCATCGTTCGACAAAAAGATTTTTCCACATCCATTATTCGATTCACTCAGATGAACTGATCGATTGCAAGCAAGCCAAAATCTCTCTCTCTCTCTCTCTCTCTCTCTCTCTCTCTCTCTCTCTCTCTCTCTCTCTCTCTCTCCC